AACATTAGAGTTGCTCTAATCATTTTTTAATACAACTTTTCTTCAGTATTTGCTGTAAGAAAACTAGTTGTGCTCCTGAAACTCATCTGTGGCCCTGCTCATCTGAACTCAGAGGACGGCTGTCTTCCTTGAGGCCCCTGGTTCAGTTTGAGAGTGAATTTCCTCAAGACAGCTGGATTTTCAGTACTCCAGAGAACTTATTTCACTAATCTGCTTCTGGCAGCAGGATGATTTCTTTTTTCCTGCCAGTGCAATTTCCTGAAGTAGTGTGATTACAGACAGTGTGATGGGAGGGGCCTGGAGGTAGTACTAGTCACTGTCCCTGGGAGTCAGCTGTGTAAAAACCACTTGAGAGGCAAGAAACTCTGACATGACAGTTTGGGGGCTTGAGTTTTATAATTGAAAGGAGCGAAGGATAGGTTTGGATTAAGACACTGCACTGGGATCTAGGAGATCCTGAATCAGTTCTTCTGCTATGTACTTTGCATGTGACCTTGAGTGGGTCAAGCTGTTGGAATATAGTTTTTGAGCCCTCTAAACTGAGCTGAGATACAAGTGAAAATGTTCTATGTCTTAAAAACATGTTGCAGAAGTGACTTTATGAGTTGTGAGGACTTTCAGAGAGTCAAAGTGGACATGGCAACACTCAGCTTGAATCTTTTGGCTCCTGCTCCTTTGCCTTGTCTCGAGCACATTGTGGGAAATGGCTTAGAGCTGTCCCACGTTGTGGCAGTGTCAGGCAGCCTCTTGAGCAGAATTTGGATTTTCCACTTCTTGAAGACAATCTCTATTTATAAATTTTTATCTAATAATTCTTTGTATTTATATCTTACGTTGTTATCCAAACACTCAACACAGTCTAATTCAGTGCAGTGAGTATAAGTGGACTGTAGTAAACAAGTAAATGGCTGGTGCTGTTACCCAGTGATTAATAGGGACTGGGCAGCCAAAATCAGTGAGGCACAAACCTCTGTGTCCCATAGCACTGTGTTCAAGAAATGGTGTTTATAAATCACACTAGTATGTGAAGAGCTGCAGATTTCAGAATTTGGTCTTTTCATTGGCAATCAGGCAACTGGATGGCATTTCAGCTAGACTGAAATCTTGTTTTGGGCCAGAGAGCGTTATCAACTTACACTGACTTCTTTTGGTATCAACTTGTATGCTTCCAGAGTTACTTGATGTAAACTTGGCAGGATCTAAGGTTTGTGTTTGGTTGAATAATTCCACTTTCCTAGTAGTATAAACTCAATTATAGATCCCAGTGTAGGCCCTGGGGGTAGGCAACTCTTGGCTGCCCCAGCTGTTTCTGAACTCTTTCAGTTGTGGGCAAGACAGTCTCTGGGAATGGTGTTAAGAAAATCAGGGTCTGTTTTGTGGGCACAGCTCTGTTGAATAGGAGTAAGCTTCTGTATCCAAACCAAAACATACCTATCCCTTTTCCCCAGGATAATTAAAACTTCATAGCCTCCAGAATTCTGTTCAAGGAAGAACAATTAAGAGTATAAACCCTGTGATTTTTAAAATCTGGTTGGAGTAAACCCACCTGATTACGATACCTGAGAGTCAAGTTGAGACGTTGTGAAGTTAACTGCCTTCAATGTTCAACACAAAAAAAAAAAAGCATAATAACTGCCCCATATTACAAGTGGTAAAGCTGCAGGGGGTTGTTTTTCATGAGTTAAATATGATTATGAGATCTTATAAAACCTTGATGTATCTCAAGAGGGAGGAGGTAGTTTGGTTTTTGTGTGAAAACCAGCCTCTACCTGCCTAGGCATTATCACCAAGCAGGTGGTGGCACAGGTGGTGTTGGCAGTATATTGCTAGTTGGAGCACCTCCTAAAACTTCAGTTCTCAGGAGAGTTTAGATGTTGTTAACCCTTTCTGATGGCTGAAGAGCCTTGTGGAAAGCACAGGGAGTTGTTCTACATGAAGTACTGCTGCAGTTGTTCAGCAAACTACACATTGATGTTGTCTCGTGAACCTAGAGTTTATGTCATAGTGCACTTGTAAACCTCTTCCTTTATTTGCTTCCTCTCCTAATCAGTTTTTTTCCCCTTTCTGCATTGATCCTTCATTCACTGTCATGCTCTGGGAATAACTATTTTAACTTCTAGGGTTTTTCCCCCCCTTTTACTCTTTTCTTAGAAGTCTTGCTTTTAAAAAGTGGAACTTACTGTCACTAATCATGCCCAGATACCTAGAGTTTGACTCCTGCTTTGCTGACAGGCAGCCTCCCTTTCTGGTTTGTTTTCTGGCTCTTGTTACAGCTGCTAACAGTTGGCTTGCTCCATTTCTGGACTGACTTGATCTGTATCACATGAACTGTTTATCTCCCTCCTTATTCAAGCATTGAATGATAATTGTCTCCTAACTATCATTATTATATGTAATAGTGGGGAAGGGACTTGTTCCCATTCCAGAGATGAAGAAGTTGAAGAATCAGGGAAGTTGTGGACAATTCAAATCAGTGGTAGATTTATCTTCCCAGTTTTTACCCTCTTTGCTTTTGGGTTCTCGTGCAGATTCCAGGGTGTACCTTGAGTAAGGTTGAATGTAACCCCAGGGAGAAGTTAAGGCAATTTGGGATGGGGCAGGGAAGCTTCAACTCCACTTTTTCTGGGATTGAAGCATTATGAGTTCCTGGGATTTGGAGATAACACCTTCTATCAGTATATAAACCATTTAAAAAAGTTTTTAAAAGCACAAATTTTCTCATACTCTCTCTTTTTTTTTGGCTTTGTTCTGGTTTTACAGGTATCAGCCAGAGCCGCATCTCCCATTGGCTGTTGCAGCAGGGGTCGGACCTCAGTGAACAAAAGAAAAGGGCATTTTACAGATGGTACCAGCTTGAGAAGACAAATCCTGGTAAACAAATACAGCCTAAACATCTCCTGCTGTTTGTTTACGGACTAGAAGCCTTTTGTCACTGTTGTTTATTATCACTGGTAATTCACTTCTTGATCCGAGGTACTGCAGAGGAGCTCCCTCTGACCAGTTAAATTTTTAGGAGGCTAGAAACAAATCTGTACTTTGCAGTAAGTGATCCAGATCTGACTCATCCGTAGATGTCTCATCCATAGCTGTCTGTCCAGCTCCTCAGTCTCAGATACTTGCCCTGTCCTTCCACCTGGGAATCGGAAGCAGTCAGTGAAGTTGTAGTCAGTTCATGTGAAATATATGCTGAGGCTCTTCAGAATGAGCAATAGGAAACATTAATATTGGCTGCCTAATGTAATACAGTTTGGCAGTGAGAGCATCTTTGGGATAACTTCAGAGGGTTTTGGGTTGGATCTCAAGCTTGCGGATGGATGTTGATAGTTACAGTGATAAATTGAAGATGTGTCTCTCAAATCCCACCTGCTCTTCCAAATCTCAAAATAGATCTTGAATATAAAAAGAGAAGTAAAGCTCTTCATTATCTGTAACTAACCAGCAATCTTCAAAATCGCAGTTGAATTAATTTCCTTGCATTGTTCTTCTCCCTAGATTCTGTTTGACCACAATTCTTTTTTCTCCCTTTAGCAGTTTTATTGTAAAGATGAAAATATTTACGTTCAATTTCCTTTAAACAATGGCATGATTAAATTAACTGTGTAATTCTTTTAAGGAATTTAAAACTCAGACTCTCGAATGTGAACTTGGCTTCGATATCCAGAGTTATATTAAGAAAACTTCCAGTGAAAACATAGCCTCAAAACTTCTGCTTTGTGTGTAAGCTGAAAATCAAGAGGCTCCAGCTGACAGTTGGCTGGAGAATACTTCAGCTTAAAGCTGGGTGGGTTCAGAGTGGCAGCTGAGCCTGTTCTTTCTGTTGAGCATCTAGAAAATTGTTCTAAAGAATGAAAGTGCCAAGGGGTGTGAGGTGCTGGCAAACCGCAGGATCAGCAAAGTTCTGGCCACAGCCATCCAGTATTTGCTGCTTGAAAGGCCTCGGGTTGTATACTACGAAGTAACTCCATGCCATTTCCCTTTGGTGGAAGGTGTTACCTCCAACATAGTGTAGAGAACTAGACCTTTTTGGGGGGAAAACCCCCCAAAAGTCACCTCCTAATGATGAACTCTGTTAAGTGAATAATTCCTCTAGCCTTGCATCTTTTCTTGCCAGTATCATGTGAAGCTGTTTAAGAAAGTTTTCTGTGCTGGGATAAGAAAAGTCCTGTCCAACTTAGCACTAAAATCTTTACTTGTTAACCTTCCCTCTTTTCTCACATCCAGAAGTTCACACCTCCACTCTTGAGAAGTGTCTAAGGAATGAAGACTTTCAATACTTAAGGTTACCTTAAATTGAAAGGAATCAATGTTAACCTCTACTTTTCTTTATATCCACATGGAAAAACTTCTTGAGTGGTTGTTTGAGTGTAACCTTTTTCCCAGTAAGAGATCTTAAACAGCATTTTTCAGGAAGTGTAAAAGCCAAATTGTTTCCTCTGCCTAAGCAAAGAGACTATTTGGATGCACTTAAATTCCTTTTAGAACCAAATAACATTTGGTTTCTTTTAAGATACTGAGGTAAAGGAATGAACCTTCAGTTTTCCTGTAGCTGTCTGGAAAGTCTGCTGGAGGGAAATGGGGTGTATTTATTTATTTTTTGTAGGATAATCTGCTGCTTTGAATTATTGCCATCTACTGTACTGCAGGTCAGACCAGGTAGCCAAGAGGTAATTGACCTGGGTGTGAACAAGTGTATAGAGTTTGTAAAGAAAGGTACAGCCTTGTTCAAAGAATCCTGGATTAAATTACTGTTACAAAACCAATCTGAGCCAAAGTTTTGGATACTACTTTACAGTATTCCATGGTTAGTAAACAGTCTGGCTGCGCTGCTGTCCTCTTTAGAGCCAGAAGATGAGAAAATCAGTGGAGCCTCCTGCCATGCTCACAAAGAAGTGATTTCATCAGTATACTCTGTAAAGTGGGTAGGATTGTCCTCCTTGGAAGAAACCCGAGAGATTAAATGGCTGGCATGTGGTTTTTGTGTTTGCTCGTTTACTAAAAAGTGACTTTTGGCTTTTTGTTCTCATCCCATTTTTTCCAATTCCAGCTGGTGGGATAAAAATCTCAATCCTCCTTTGAGAGAGATAGTCAGGTCTCTGTGCAGAAGCACTTAGACTTTGAGTTACCAATGGGCAAAGTGAGGTATTTGGAAACTATTAGTTCCCCAATTTCTTTTAATTCCTTATCTTGAAAAACTGGATCTTCAGAGTAAGTCTAGTTTTTGCTGAATTTGTGTAGTAATGGAAAGAAAACTTTCCCTTAAAATTGAAGCAGTTTTGAAGGACTAGGACAGCAGATATTATCAATTCATAAACTGTGAAAGAAGAAGAGTTGTTTTGTGTGGAAAGGACTGGAGATCTTTTGGCACAGAGTCTTCTCTTGGCTCTGCCAGTTTCTTTGTACAACTCATAGCAAATTAATTCACCTTTGCACCACTCTCATCTCCTTGATAATGGTGAGACCATTCCCTCTGTGTGATGTCCCTGCCTTGCCTTAAGGTCCACACAGCAGGACCTGTCTTTTACTGTACTTATATAAGCAAAAGACTTATAAATACATCAAAAGAGACTTTATTTTTTCTTTTTTGCACATATATCACAGTGCTGTAGAATGCTTTAAATCATCCACAAGCAGTCCTGCATCTGCCAACCAAAGAACTTTGTGTTGTGAAGCCTTCAAGTAGTTTTGAGATGTTGCTGCTGTTCAGATGCTGTTCATATCAGAAGAGACTCAGCAATTCCATCACGTCAGTTCTTTTCCAGTTTGCTTTGACCTCTTGAATATGCTGTTTGTTAATTGCATGGATTTGATTGCTGGTTTGCATGGGCAGTTTCTGTATTTCTCCTGTCTGGGATGGTGGGTGTTCAGACAGCAGCAGACTGGAACTTTGCAAAAGAGACTGAAGTCTCATGGCCCTGGAAAAAGAAAAAAAACCACCCACTTTTCCTAGTGTATGCAATAATCTTGCTCAAAAATGTCTTAATCAACATTTTCCTGGTAGGAGTAATGTTGGAATTAATAGCAGTGCTGTGAATTCCAGTGTACTACTGATGGTAAATTTTTTGTGAAGGAGTTGCCAATTAGGGTGATAGGCAGTTTTTTTGTTGAGAGGAAGAAGTCAATGTTAAGTGCTAGTGTTTGGAAGGTCTTTAATGCAATTAACCAGAATGTTTTTCATTTAGATGTAGCTTTTTTAGGACAGGCACCACTTGTCCAGTGTTTTGTAGAGGACCGAGATCATTTTGGCAATAGATAAACAGTGTATGTTTCAGAAAACAGTGTATGACTGCAGAGTCCTACACTGTTCTATATTTTTCAGAGCTCATGGGTTTTAAATAAATAAATATTTCCTTTTAGATTGGTAGCTGTTAGCTTGATTAGTTTGCCCAGCACTGGGTCTTGGGTGATGTGGAAAGTTTGTTAAGGAGTAACTTCACCTTGTTGTCTTTTGCCTCTGTGTACTGCAAACTGAAACTGGCACCTAGAAATGATGTGTTGGAGTTACAGATGGATACAGACTGCTTCCATTTAGGCTGGATATTTATTCCTGCCAGTCTTCTGTAATAGAAAGGCAGCTGTGGTCACCTTGGAGAGAACCATGTGCTCTTCCTCCTTGAACAAAAAGGAAAAAGAAAGGTAGTTATTATCAAGATGTAGCAGCTCTTGTGTTATTCCCACAGCAGTTCTTGTTTAGCTATAAAAGAAAAGCCTACCAAAATCAGGGGCTGGATATCTCACGAGGTTTGCACTGGAAACGGATTGTTGGTGATTTACTGTTTTACAGAGCTGCAGAGCAAACAGTCTCTGCTCTGATCCTTTTCATCCAAGCCATGAGCTCTGTAGGGAACCTTTAGCTGTGCTGCTGCTGATTCCAATCTAGCCTGGCTGGGTAGTAACTGAAAGGTGTTTATTATGTGATCTCGGGTCAGCCTGGCTAAAAATATAGTGAGACATCTGTTCTTATCAGTATAATATATGTTAGGGACTTGCTGCAAAGCTTTGCCAGGAAATGGGTTCTTGGAGCTGGGGGATGGCCTGAGGCTTACTGCAACCGTTCTGCACATCACCCTGTATGGCAGGGCCTCTCTGAGGCATGTGATGGGGATCAGCAACTGCATGTGATGCTTTTAGAGCAACTCTGTTTCTTCAGGATAGTGTCTGGGATGTGCCAAGAGAAGTCAGGACTTGCCAGGAGGAATTTGAATCTAGAGAGAGCTGCATTCCAGTTGGTGAGTGCCACTCCTGCCTCCTCTCCCGAAAAGCCACCTGCAGCATCCTCAAAGTCATATGCCACGTTTGAGAAAATGCAGGTTTGCACAATGCAGGTTTCTTTTGTAGGAGAAGGTGCTCAGCACTGGCAGGGAGTGAGAGATGTTTCTTTTCATTTCTCGCTGTGAAAGGAGTTCTTCCCAGACAGTTCACCTCTACACCCCTTAGAGATGTCTTGCTGTTTGATGCATATACTGAGATGAAAATCTCATACTGCATTTTCTCTACACTGTCTGCTCAAGAGAGAAGTTTCACTTCTTAAAAGCTGTTTGAGGGGTTTATAAAAAGAATCTGAACTGGTGACTAGGCTGTAACTTACCAAGTTATAAAGAAGTGGAGCTGGGTGGCAAGAAGATTGCAATGAAGCATTAGAACAGAATAATAAAGGGGATCCGTAAGTGCTTCCTGAGTTCAGGGGGATGAAGAAAAGCTCCATAGTTACCTTATATAATGTGGCAGCAGTGCATATCATAAATGGTTTGGGTTCAAGATAGTCTAGTTCTACTCCCTGTCATGGGTAGGGACACCTTCCCCACTAGACCAGGTTGCTCTAAGCCCCATCCAACAGGGCCTGGAACACGCCCAGGGATGGAGCAGCCACAGCTTCTCTAGACAACCTGTACCAATGCCTCACCACTCTCATAGCCAAGAATTCCTTCCCAGTATCCCATTTCTCCCTGCTCTCTGGCAGTAGGAAGCCATTCTCCCTTGTCCTGTCCTTCCAGGCCCTTGTCCAAAGTTCTTCCCCAGCTCTCTTGGAGCCCCTTTAGGTTTCCCTGGAGCAGTCTGGACACCCTCTGCTCTCCCAGCCTGTCTCCAGGGTAGAGGGACTCCAGCTCTTGGAGCATCCCATGTCCATTTTGGCCATGCATATATCCAAGCTCATTTTGGGCTTCTTTATGCATTCAGATCCTTCAGTCTTGCTGTGTGTGGGTACTTGCTTGTAATTCTCAGCATATTTCTCTCTTTGCTGCTGCTGCTGCTGTTGATGTTACCCCATAGAAAAGAGTAATAAGTAAATTGATCCAGCAAGGCTACTAAAACAAGAAAAAGTACATTATATTCAGTACATGAACATATCAGGAGCAGCAGCAAATTTATGCTTTCAATGCAGATTTTTTTTTTCAACCTTTGTCTGAAAAATATCAGACATTTAATGGAAGGTCTCTGCACCTCTTACCTTGATGCTAGGCATCACTGGTGTTCCCATACTCTCCCTGTGAAATAAAATCTTCAGATAGGGAGAGTATATTGCTAAGGTAATGCAGAGAAAGCTAATTTCTTTTCCTGTTCTCCCCTGTCTATTTTTAAATATTTTATTTTATTCTTTTTTAAGTTTTTGAAGTGTATTTAAAGCCTGGCAACTTGATACCAGCCCAGCCCCATAAACTGTGCAAATACTAGAAGGACTAGATAAGGAGCTTTCCTTGAAATGGCCTCTCAGTAAATTGGCACTATAGGAAATATTTCATGTTTCAATAAAACCAAGTAATCTGTGTGGGCTCGTTAGCTGGGAATTAGTAAGAGGCACCGTCCGTCGTGCGTGCAAGGCAGAGATTGTGGGATTCACTTCCTACAGACTTCTCCTGGGTAACATTTCTAAATCATTTTGAGCTCCACTACCTGACACAGATGCAAGCCCCTGGCAGTGAGGGAAATACTCCGTGTGCATTTCTGGAGAGGAACACAGCCAAGTGCCTAAATAGTTCATTTCTTGCTTTTTAGCTGTAGGAATTTGTTTATTGGTTAAACTCTTGAGTTCCCCTGACCCGTTTACTCTGTTGTGTATTAAAAAGCAGTGTTGTTTCACTAACACAGTATGTTTTGATGATTAAATCCTAACCATTCTGAGCAACTCTGAGTGCCCAAAGGGATTTGCTGTTGCAGTGCTGCTCTTAGGTGTGCACAGGGCTGTGAGCAGAGCTGCTTGTTTCTCCTGGATCTGTCCAGGCTGGTTCAGTGCAGGAATTCAGTGGAGCTCAGATGCTTAAGGGGTATAGATGGTGATTTGTCTTTCCTACAGCTTTTTTTCCTTATTTTTTTTTGCACACAAGAGCAACTCTTTCTTCCCTGTGGGGGAAGTCACTGAGCACAGAGCTGTCCTTCAGAACTTGTCCTGGTTTCCATCCTCGTGTCCTGAACCAGGTTCCTGTCCTCACCAAGGGATGTATGAGAGATTGATCTCCCAGTGTGTCTTGATTTATCTTGATCTATTAGCTGAGAGGCTGCTGTGGATAGAATCAGGGGTAAGTTTCAAAAGGGCCTTTCCTGAAGGCATTTTGCCAAATCCTGTCTCTTGCTTGATGCCTTCCAGCTCAGACTTCTTGAAAGGAGAAATGCATCCATAGAAGGGAAACAGGAGAGGAAAGGTGTGATGTTCATCTGCTTTCAGTGACTTTTTCAGGCAACCTGGCACTTGTGAGCCCATGTTTGCGTGTGTCACATGGTGTGTTTCTGTTGGTGGAGCTTTGGACACATGGAAATGCCTTTGGTATAAATTTCCATTTTGCTTCCTAAGAATGTTGTTTAATTAAATGGAAACTGCTATTTCCCATTTTGTGACAGCACAGCCTAAATAAATCCCTGCTGGAGCATAGCTCACCCTTTCTGTACGGCCCTTTTCTTCTTGACGAAGACAGGACAGCTTTTCCAAAGTGCCTGGCAGCTCAATTATGTCTCCATAGATTTCCATGGTCACCTGATGCCTCTGTCACTTGGAGGTTGGAGATGAGAACTCTAACTGGCTTTGTGTATCTTTAAGGTGTCTTTGTTTGATAACGCTTTATTTGTTTAGTTTGAATGGTTTCATCATCTGTCTTGTCTTTTTTTCATGAGCAGGAGCGAGAGAATGGGCATGACTTAATCCACTAGGAAACACAGTATTTATTCTTCTCAGGGGCTACATTAAGCATGAGACCTGCTCCCATCCCAATAGAAGAGCCAGAATGGAGACAGACGCCTCCCCCAGTCACAGCTACCTCTGGGACCTTCAGACTACGGCGGGGCAGTCGGTTCACATGGAGAAAGGAGTGCCTGGCTGTTATGGAAAGGTATGTCAGTTTGTGGGGTTGGAGATGGGCATTTGAAAGACAATACACATATCCTTTTTCCTGCTTTGATGAACACCAGCTTCATTTTCATGGATGTGTTTTGGCATGTGTGATTCTATGATTCTGTGAATTCTTTGTGTTTTGGCATCACACAAGCCTGTAATAATTTGATTCTACATGATAGAGAAGGAGGAGCTATGTTACCTCTTGTGTTTTAAAACATTAAACATTTTTAAAATGTTAGTCTGCTCTGGACAATATCTTTCTTTTGTATCCTCCAGGACATCCTGGCCTTAGCTCAGTCTGAGGGTATTGCTGGACAGCTATTCCTTGGCTTTTGCAGAAACCTTTTAGCCTGTTTCAGTCTCTGTCTTGGTGGGGGTCTGCATGCTCTTTACATTCTGCATTTCTCCTTTCCCACTTCACTGATCTGTCCTCACCATGTATCCTGCTATTTTATAGTTGACACCAGCATTTCGGCAGCACTGTAATTGTTCCGGATGCAGAACTTTGCCTAACAAGCAATAGATTCCTTATCCAAAAAGGCTCTTAGAACCCTTTTACATGAGCTGGGAACAGTACAGAGCAAAGTGGATCTTTCAAATACATATGCAGAGTGGCAGGTGATCATTAGAGCTCCCAGCTCTTCAGTCCTGCGGAGACGAAGCACTCTGAGCCCGGGCTCCTGGCTGCCTGCATGCTTTGCCTTTCCCTCTGCTTACAGTAATGTCTCTTTTGTGGATAGTGCTGTATAACAGAAAAGGGCTAGTGAACTCAGGTGTAGCTTAGGGATGAGTGCTTATTTCTGTTATGGACTAAATGGCTGGGAGGAGTTTTCTCCCCTCTGAGAGCATGAGGAACCTGCTTTCCACGGAAGCACCAGATGACTGTGTGCTACACTCCTCTCTGGTTTGCACCGCCAGTGAGACCTTGGCCAGCAAATTTGTAGGATGTGCTTTTACTGTTTCTATAATGCTTCTCTTTCCTCTTGCTTGCATAAGGGTCTTGGGAACTGATGTAGGAGCAGGAGAGAGTCTCTTTTGCCTGAACTGAGACTGAAATCTTGAGTTTCCTTGGAAACCCAAGCCATTTCACACAAGATGGACACACTTCTGTGTGGCCACAGGCCATCACAGGGTCTTTGCAGGAGTGAAACCAGTAACTAAGTGTTGGTTTCCCTATTCTGGCCTGGCACTGCATTGATTTTTTTGGCTTTGGCTGGTTGTTTCCCCAAAGGAATCAGTGTAAATGTTTGAAGTCTGTTGTGCTTTGCTGGACTCAACTAATGCAAAGTCCTGGAATCTGATAGTACAGGGGATTGTGTTTTTCTAGTGTCCCACTCCACAGGGGCAGTATGATGTGTGGTACCTGATCTTTAGCACTTGAAAATGCTTGTATGACTGTCCTGATTGCACTGCATAGAATGATGATACCACTGCAGCTCTGTGTACCTTCAGCACAGCACCAACTCCTGATCAACCCTCTGTGTGTAACATAGTCACTCTGAAGTAGAATTAGAGGTCTTTGGACATGGCTGTTTCCTTCTTGGTTTCTGAACCAAGGCCTGAAGTGCAGTAACTGCTCTTAGTTGCTGTTTGCATCGTGGTAGTGTCTCAGACTCCTTTGTGCTGGGTGCTGGGGAAACACAGAGCAGAGAGCACGCAAAGCAAGCCAGCCCTATCCTTTCCTCCTCCACATCTCTCCTGAGGCCACTTTCTGCTGTGACACTCTCAAGAAGTTACACAACCTGTAATGGTATCTGTCTGTTAGAAAGGTGTGAAATTTGAGTTTGGATATGGAAAGAAGCAAATCAGTGTTGACATTGGAAGTCATCCAGTTGTGAATGCAGATACATAATCACTTGATCTAATTTTTCATTACTCTCTTCTTGGGCATTGTTGGTTTTGTTCTCTGTGTCTTGTGCTCTGTAAAGTCTTTGCTGCTGGGGTTTTCTTCTTGTTCTGCTGCTGCCACATTGCCTTAATCCTGGTTTTAATATTAATTTGCAAAGCCCTTGGCTAGGTCACTGAGCACTGAGTTTCACAGCCTTGTATGGGGTGCTACGAAGCAGGGCTGAGGAGTTTTACTCGAGGCAAGAACATGGTAAACTCAGGCTGTGGTGGAAGTGTCGTAGGACAATAAAAGTACACCATAAAGCAAGCTGGGAATATGGTTGTTTAACTGTTGTGCATTAATAGGCCTAGTTGAGCTATAAGGATGAGCTGTTTTATGTGACAAGTTTTGAAAGAGTGGGAGAAAAATGCTCTTCTGGGAGCCCTAGGAAGAAGCTAACTAATTTCACTTACAAGTCACTGGAGTCTTCCAGGCTTGTCCGTAATATGACTCATAACAGCAGCAGGATGAAGGTAACCAGACTCCTCTCTCTGGCCATAGCAGATCAGGTTCTCTTGATGCCATAGGGTCAGGAATAAGCATTTGGCCACTAAAATTGTGTTTGGCATTGCCTGTGGGCTGGTGCCATTTATCTGGTAATTTGCATTTTCCTCTGAAGGATTAAGTGTTGCCTGTGAGTAGAGTCTTCTCAGTTTGATGGACTCTTTTCCTTAATGAAATGCAAGTGTCATTGCATTGTGTTTGTGTGTTTTGCAGCTTGTTGGTGCACATAGGGATTTAGGCACCTGATTTGAGCTGCTTCTTTGGGAACCTCAGTAAAGTACATGTTTATGTTGTCTGCTGTTTCTCCAGCAATGAAAAACAGATATCCAGGAGACAATTCCATCCCACTAATGCAACTCATACCAGGGTTGTGTGCACTTCCCCTCTGGCTGCAAAAGAGAAGCATTGTGCAGTTAGGCCTAACTTTGGTGATTTAGTTTTATGTCTGAAGATAAGCGGGTTGAAACTAGACCTTAGTGGAATCTAAACCTCTTGTGTATGTAATTCAGAACTTCTTCCTTCTGAAGCATTGCTGAGGTGCTGTATAAACATTTTTGGGGTGAGGATGAGGGTGTTGGCTGCTCTGTCGGTTGATTGTGCTTGTGCTTTTGACTTGGATTCAGTTGTTGAGAATTGCAGTCGCTAAAAGTCAACGTGTCAAACCAGCTGAGAGCACTTTCAGGAAAGAATCTGAATTCAATTGCAAAAATTAGAGGGATTTGCTCCTAGGATCAGGCTCTCCAACTGAAAATGCACAGCACCACTCAGGATTTGGCCCAGGAGCTGAATGAGAAGGGTGAGGGTTGAAGGACTAGTTTCTCTTTTTTTTTCTTTTTTTTTTTTCTTTTTTTTTTTTTAAGATTGAAATCAACAAAGATTCCAGTGCAATTAATTACTATATTGGTGCCAACCTGATAGAATTAAGATTAGAATTAGGGCCAGCACATACACTTAGATGTCTGATGTACCTAAGTGTCTGCATACAGGGTATGTGTATTAAAGAAACTAATTGGTTTATGCTGGATTTCCAGAATGCTGCTTGTGGTTTCTGTAATTCAATTCTCTAGTCTTTCCTGCTTTTTTGGAAACCCTCCCAAGGTAGTTTCTTAGTCACTGAGCTTAGATTTCGGACAATACATTCAGGTCTCTTTCTCCCTGTAATTTTATTTTTTTTACAATATCTCTCAGAATATTTTATGCTCTGAAGGTTAAGAGGAGCAATAGTTCCAGAAAGTAAAGTTCTATATTTAACTGCAGACTAGGTGTGGTTCAGACAACTGCAGTGCAAGCTCCCTCTCACTGCTGTGCTACTGATACCAACCTTGACCTGTTCTCTTCTGGAACCTCCTGCTCATGGAATATGCTGAGTTTTGAGTGTGTCGATGTTGTTGTGTGGCTTTGCCCTCCTTTGGGAACAGAGCTAAGACTGCAAGAGTCCTTTCTGTGCAAACCTGAGGTTAAACTTGAAAGGCTGTTTCTGGTTCAGTTTCATGTTCTTTTTTTGTTATGTCTTGTCCCACAGATAATTTTTTTTCTTTGCTTTGCTTTACTTCTTCTTTTCAACCTCTCTCATTAGAACTATGAAATTGAAAATTCCCTTAGGGTTTTCTCTTTTTTAATGAAGCTGTGTTGTCTTGTCTGTCTATTTTTCACATTATTTTTTTTCCCCAAGTGATTTATGCTTCTCCTCTAATCATATGTTGGAGTCGGTTTATCTCCTTTTTCAGGCAAAAAAAAAACCCCTAAGATTGGCAGCAGAATGAGTGACTTTGCACCAGTTTTAAGGCACTTTTGTTGAGTGCCACTAAAGACTGGGGGAAGGAGTTGAGTGTTGTTTCTGAAGTATATGCTTTATCCAAAGATTAAATTAAAAGAACTGTAAATTCTGCCCTAAACAAAAATGAATAATTCATCAGTTGAAAGTATTTCAGCTTGTCTAGGGAGCAGGGACTTTGCTTTTTGGTTTGACTTCATGGGTCTGTGTTTTTATTTTAACACTTGTCTGTACATCTGAAGCTCCTTTTGTAAAGGTGTATTTAGATCAAATAAGCCTAAGATGATATAGATACCCATTATCCCTATTTCATAGGTGGCAACACAGAGTCAGGTGTTTCACTTGGCTTTATTCACGAGAGAAATGGGTTTAGATTTCCCAAGATAGGAGGGTATAGTTTCATGCTATAGCTGAGCTGAATTAACGGTTTGTCACCATCTCATCCTTGGGTGTTATCCTGCCTCATCACCCTTCTCAAATCCTCCTCCTCAGTTTCCCTGCTCCTGCCACCCTGCACTGTGCCAGATATGTTTCTTGTCTGATTGAAATAGCAGCCAATTCAGCTCAGTTCAGGAAAAATAAATCCTTTTTATTTCCCTCTGCATTTTCCTGAATTGGTTCAGCTTGCTGTGCACTGAGGGTGTGCCAGGACTGGCCCAGGGCAAAGGACAGGAATGCACAGCTGGGAGCACAAGGAAGGGGAAGTTTAACAAAATGATGAACAAATCTTCCATGGTGGTTTTTTGGTCTGGTTTGGTTTGGTCTGGGTTGGATGATTTCCTGGTTTGGTTAAAAACATGCCATAATGGTTCTTTGAGTTTTGCCAAGG